TTCCTGACCTTATGGCACACCTCACTTTCAAGGCCTCTAATCAGTCATGGCCTGAGGTTGGCTTCACTACTAGGCCAGGTTAGCTGACTTTGCTGTTGGTTGTCGTGAAGTAGTCAACACAAGTTATGATACTGGCCATAATGGTATGGAGAAATATGTAAATATTGAGTCAATCACCAGACTGAATGTTGAGAATGAGCAATTGTACAACACCCCAAATCACATTCAATGCCAACATTTAAAAATTATATATTTTTACAATATCTGTGTATGGAAAATGCAGTATGGTTAGGTGAAGGTCATGGTTATGGTAAATAAACTATGGTTATGGTTAGCAACCTAAAACACTTGGTTAGAGCTGTACTAATTAATACTTTAATATTAACAATGGGTTAAATGACTGTGATGTGAAAGCTGATACTTGTGGTCACAAACCCACAGATAATTATCATCCAACTCTGCAGTTCCCTTCAGCTCTACAGAGCTTTTAGTTTCTATCCACTTATTGTTTTGGTTTGACAGCTGCAACTGTACTGTTTTGGATCACTCTCACCGCTCTTTACAGCATTGTTAGCAGCACACAGCTGTTTTCAGCAAATTACTTCTGATAAACCACTGTACACTCCCTGCCAAGAAGCAAACAGACAGACAAGCCCAACATTTCTCCCATGACTTGGTGGAGACCACAACAGAGCAAAATGAAGAGGAATATTGGACTTATATTTGTCAGGTGGACACAAATACGACTCAAAATAAATGCTAAAATTGCTCTTGCAACTGTTTGCTAACTTGTTTACCATATAACTTTATTAAGTGATAATATGTCAGTGTTGTTACATTGCCCCAAGTGGCAGAAAATCTATTAAGGCACCTTTAGATTAGGGAAAGATCACAAAGAACAGACACTGTTATTTGTTAGACTGCAAACTCTATTATTCTACATGAAGATGGGATGCGCTAAAGTTGCATCCACCACCCCAACTTCCACATCGCACTATAAAACTGTCCAATATGAACGTAATTACTAGGGCTACTGGGCTGAGGTGGTTTAACACAGAGGTGATACGATTAACATATTATGAAGCAATTTAACACTGCAATTTGTGACTTAAGAAGGTGTGCTGTTTCATTATTAGCATTACGTCATGTTCCAATATCCTTTTGTTATCATTAAATGAACAGATATTTTATCATACAAGAGGCAAAATGTAATGTCCTTAAAACTAGATTCCCAAACATTTCAGGTCTTACTGAACAATTTTAGGAAAAGTGGCTCTAATAAAATGTCACACACAAACAAGCACATCAAACTATAAAACTAATTAGAATATCTTGCTTACTGTTAATGCTTTTATTTAGCCCCACATAGACATGAAATAGAAATCCTGCTCACTGTTTGTATAGCAGTTGAGCTGCAATTCAAGTGCAGTTTTTGAAACCTCTTTCATTATCTCAAGTGGTGAGCCACTTGTTCCCTCTGAGAGCTACAGTACAGTGTGTGACATTTAGTAAATCCTGAAGGCTTCTACCTTTTGTTGTATGCATTTAAACAACACATTAAAGCCAGAATGTTCCTTGTGGAACCTGTCACATTTCCCAGGTAAAGCAGATGAATAAATAAAACACCGCTGTTAGAGGCTGAAACACCCCCTTCTTTGTGTGATTTGCTGTTGCCTTGAGTTAGATCCTGATCTCTTTGTAGGCCCTCTCCCAACAAGCATTGACCTTCTGCTCCGACATGTAAAGAGCTCCACGAGATCAGAAAAGGGAGGGGGAGCTGTGAATAAAGGCATCACCACTGCGAGCAGCCAAGAGACTTCATCCACTTCACTCCACACTTCTCTCCCTCTCCTCTCTCTGTCTCTCAGTGTAGCTTTATCTCTGTGTTCAGTCTAGGAGCGGAGATACCTTGTTGGCGGCACAAAGGAGCGGTTCTGTAATAAAAACAGCTGTCTCTGGTGGTCTTGGTGTAATTGGGATTGTTAACGTGGAGAGCTCCTGAGGGAGACTGAGAAGAGTATGTCTTTGTGTAAAGCACACAGACACCTCTGCAGCACTCCTTGATTCGGATGTAAGTAAGAGAGTGAGGAGGAAAAAAAGCAAACAAGTCACCTGAGTTATATCAAGCCCTGCTGCATGTGCTCTCTCTATTTTACTTGGGCTTTACTTTTATTTTTAGACAGTGCCTATTTATTTATATGTAGTAAAGCTCCTTGAAGTGAGGGAAATCATTTTGTGCACAATTCTACTGAGGGTTTATGTTTTTAAAGGCAAGGTATGTCTGCACCTTCCAGCGTTGAGACAAGTGTTCTTATGATAGCAACATTTCCTCCAATTACTGCATTGGTGTGATGACACAAATTGAGGACAAAAATATTTAAAAACTGGAAGGGCATTTAGCTGATGATACAGTCAAATTTTTAAAAAGTTAAAACAAAACCAGCCCTACCTCAAGGGTGTAGGATGTTTGTCATTTAGAGGCTTTTTTCTATATATATATTAAAATATTTGTTTTACACAAATCAATTCTGAAATGCCGCGATAACCTGTATATTTGTCTTTCCTCAGTAAAGTCTTATTATGAGTTAGGTTTATTTTTGCAAATGACTCATTTTAAATACAATTTAAATTGTACATATAAGGTGCTACTGTAGCCCCCATATAAGCAAATACAAATTAAACATTACAAAAATAAAACTAAATTATATGATATTTAAACCCATTTTGATATTAGATAACAAAGATCTGTTATTCTTACTTAAATATCCGAGATTGCCACTCCATTGTGTTTCTGTTTGCCATGGTAAGACCCTTCAAAGGTAATTCTCTTAATCAGTCTGACATACTGTCCTCCCTAAAACGTGAGAAAGCTGTTGGCATAGGAAATAAAAGGTACATGAACACACTCACGAAAAGTGTTACGAAAATGTACTTCAAAGTCGATTGCTTGGGAGCAGCTCGGGCTGATTTATTTGACTTAAGATATACTTTTTTGTGTGTTTCATTGTGGATGAAAATTTCATACACCAATTTAGAGGTGGTGAAATATAAATGATTTCTTTAAAGTTTCATCATAAATCAGTCTGTCGGTATATGTGAGCAGACACTGATTGCTCCTTGATGTCTCCTGAGCCTGATCTCTGTCTCCTGGTGTCTGGAGGTGGCTCCAGCAGCGCCTGTTGTCCCGCTGGGGAGGCAACATATTTCTGCAGCTGGGTGTCTCTCTCTCTCTCTCTCTCTCTCTCTCTCTCTCTCTCTTGCAATGTAAAACTGATATGCAGCAGCAACAACATGCTTTTTTTTGTCGCAGGCGTTTGGACATAGCCTATTAAATATCTATGTGCAAGAACAGCATTAAAAAAACAAAACAGGAATTGACATGTAGTCGCTCACAAAGACCCCCACGTTTTCAGAAGAGCGCGTCTACGTTAACGCGGTAACATCGGTAGCCTCGATTAAAATGCTTATGGACTTTTATTGGAGCGGTGCACAGGCTGTGGCCACATACCGATTGCAGCGGCGTGTAGCAGTGTATAATTAGGATAAGACCATGCTTCATAATCTGAGGTGAAAAGGTGAATTACTTTGAAATCCTGGAAACATTAGCGATTTATATTATTAACACATTTAAGGTGATTAAGGGGTCAAAACACTGTCTGTCAAAGACATTGATCACTGCTTCATTACAGATACGAGATGTCACACCTTCTTGTGCGTGTGTGTGTGTGTGTGTGTGTGTGTGTGTGGGTGTGAGGGAGAGAGAGAGAGAGAGAGAGAGAGAGAGAGAGAGAGAGAGAGAGAGAGAGAGAAAAGGGGGTGTTTTGAGAAAATTTGAGGCATACAGGAAAATATAAAAACAAAACCAAGAGGCATTGTTTTCCATAAGAATGCTTTCTAACCTCCGGAGTGACTTCACATCATAACAATTATCTCATCCTATAGACGTGACCATATTAAACAAATTAGACACCCCTTGTTAATTACAACGTGATTACATGTTTTAATTGCGTTACTGATGGCGTGGTTTAATTAGGGGAAAGATAAGATAATAGCCTGATATGACAAGTATATAGATCTGCAATTAAATAGTGCTCATTATTTTTAAAAAATCCACTTTTATCGTCATGTATTGAGTAACTAATGTCACTGCTGCATGCAAAGCACCGAGCATAAAATAATACAAAATATTATAATTTTCTTAATAAGTTTACTATTTTATTTCTGGTATTTTACACAGGTTTATTTTCAAGATTTATAAAACTGTCATAGAAACTAAGGAGAAAGAAATTGCTAGCGATTATATGAAATCTTTCCTACACCTTAAATTTAGATATAGCTAAACCATAATCTCAGGAGTTGTCAATTCTATTACAACGTGTATTTAATTGTTAACAATTATTTTAACCTTAATTGCAATAATAAAATAATAGCAATATATATATAAATATATATATATATGATTTAACGCTAATAACGTTGGTGTATTTAGCGCTAAGCAGGTGGAGAAGAGATGTCTCATGAGAGGCGCAATTGTCTATTTAAAATCCGTTTACAATATTCAACAATACAATATTTTCAGGTGCAATAAATCGGAATTCAAAAAGTCTCTGAACTCAATAAGACGTGGTGCCGGTAACGAGGTGTTGGTGGTAAGAAGTAGAGTCATTTGAAATAAATGCCTTGTCGCAGACTGCCCATGCGCAGAGTCCCCAGCGGCGGCGGCGGTGGTGGAGGTGCTGGTGGTGTGGCTAATGAAGAATAATAAATCATGAAAGGGTTTTTCAGGTACAGCTGAAAAGAGAATGTGTGTGTGTGTGTGTGTGTGTGTGTGTGTGAGGGTGAGAGACTGAGAGAGCTATAGAGAGAGAGAGAGAGAATGGGGGGGGGGGGTGTGTGTGTGTGTGTGTGTGTGTGTGTGTGTGTGTGAGAGAGAGAGAGTGTATGTGTGTGTGTGAGAGAGAGAGAGAGGAGAGAGAGAGAGAGAGGCGGAGAGAGACTCAGTCTGCCCTTCGCCTCAGAGCAGAGGCAGTTCGGGTCCCCGCAGCATTCAACGTAGTCGAAGAGGTACAGTACAGAGACTGTCACCGCCATTACTTCTCACTTACGGTCATTTCAAGACGGAAACTTTTGGCAAAAAAACCAAGCCCAAACAGGTCAACGAAAGCGGCAACAGTTTTAAACTTGAAGCATTTTGGAAATCCTAAGAGACGGAAAGAAACTTTTTTTCTAATCTTTTTTTTTTCTGGCGTCGTCTTTGAGGAGTTCTGCCAAAAAAAAAAAAAAAAACAAGGCAAAAAAAATTTATATAATAGCTACAAGGTGGAGACGGTTGAAGGAGGAAAAAAAAACAGTAAGTTATTCTTTTTTTTTTGAACAACCGCGCCACAAGTCCACAAAGGAAAAAGGTATCGGCTGCGCGCAGTTGCATGGCTTGTCTGTGCCTCACTTGCCAAAAAGACGAGACACCTCCATACCTCCGCTAGTAATAATAAATAGGTGATAACTTCAGTGTTGGACGACCGTCTTCAGTCAAACACTTTATTCGACAGTGACTTGAGATTCCTGCGAAGCAATTGGGCTTCAACTCCCGACCAAGGAGGCGGAGTCTTAACTTATTAAAAGGAACTTGCCGAGGTTTGGACGCCCGCAAATATGATGATGATGTCTCTGAACAGCAAGCAGCCTTTTGCTATGGCCCACACCAGCTTGCCCGAACCGAAGTATTCGTTGCATTCCTCCTCATCCTCCACTTTGACTTCCAATGCACCGTCCTCCTGCTCGTCCTCCCGACACAGCAACACCATCATCAGCAGCAGCGGCAGCAGCTCGGAGGCGATGCGCAGAGCCTGTCTCCCAACCCCACCGGTACGTATTCTGCATAATCACAGCTTAAAGGCACATTTTGACAGCCCACTTTTTTTGCTTGATGTTTTTTTCATGTCTGCACAGCAAATCACCCAACACCTCCATATTTTTTTCCTCTGCTCAACTTATGTATTCAGTCGGCTTTGCCTTTCGTATTAATTTTTATGACCTGGGATGTTGCATGTGTCTTGTTTTGTGTGCTCCCTTTTTTAGGATTTCTTTTTTTCACATTCTGGAAATGTTTTAAACCGAGGAGTGGAGGGCGAATTCCCTGCTGACAGTTATGTGTGCATTCTATTTGCAATTGCAGAGCAATATATTCGGAGGCTTGGATGAGAGTTTGTTGGCCCGGGCTGAAGCTCTAGCGGCGGTGGATATAGTCTCGCAGACCAAGAACCACCACCACCCTCCACATCACAGCCCCTTCAAGCCGGACGCAACCTACCACACCATGAACACTCTCCCCTGCACCTCGTCTTCCTCCTCCTCCTCGGTGCCTATTTCTCATCCGTCCGCCTTGTCTGGCCACCACCATCACCACCACCATCACCACCACCACCAGCCCCACCAGGCACTGGAGGGGGACCTGCTGGACCACATCACCCCGGGACTGGCACTAGGAGCCATGGCAGGACCGGATGGCTCGGTGGTTTCCACGCCTGCGCACCCTGCCCACATGGCGGGCATGAACCACATGCACCAGGCAGCCATCAACATGGCTCATGCCCACGGGCTACCACCGCACATGGGCATGAGCGACGTGGACGCCGATCCAAGGGACTTGGAAGCCTTCGCAGAGAGGTTTAAGCAGAGACGGATCAAACTCGGGGTTACCCAGGCGGATGTAGGGTCAGCTTTAGCCAGCCTGAAGATTCCTGGGGTGGGCTCCCTCAGCCAGAGCACCATCTGCCGATTCGAGTCCCTCACGCTCTCTCACAACAACATGATTGCTTTGAAGCCCATCCTGCAAGCGTGGCTAGAAGAAGCCGAGAAATCACACAGGGAGAAACTTAATAAACCCGAGTTGTTCAACGGCGCGGAGAAAAAGAGGAAGCGCACGTCGATAGCCGCGCCAGAGAAGAGATCACTGGAGGCCTATTTTGCCATTCAGCCGCGTCCCTCCTCGGAGAAAATCGCAGCAATCGCAGAGAAGCTGGACCTCAAAAAGAACGTGGTGCGGGTCTGGTTTTGCAACCAGCGACAGAAACAGAAACGAATGAAATACTCTGCATGCGTCTAAGAATCGCTTTAAACCTCCACCCACGAAAAGACTTGGAACTGTTTAGAGACGATTTGTATCATATTTCCTATCTCACACCTTTTTTTCAATCATCGATGACTTTGTGCTTTGAACTTCGAAAAATTCCTAAATATTGAACAATGACTGAAAAACTCGAGAGAAAAAAAAAACAAAAACAGCCCACAGTCACGTCTTTTACTCGCTGAGAGGGGAGACGTGGAGTCAAGTAAAGCATCGTTTGACAGAGCAAGTAAGAACACTGTTTCCACACTTACTATGCTACACCTTTTTAATGTCAACGCAGTATGACTTACAGGACTCTGTGCTTTAATTTTTACTTATGATTAATTTCAAATGAGGACTATAGTTTGCGTTAGCAGAAATTCCCCCCCACCCCCCTCCCCCACCCCCATTGAAACTAGCAATTTATCCACACACAGCGGGGCTAGTTGAACTCAAAGCACTTGGTTGGTGACTACTGATGTTTATATTTTTGGCTTATAGGATAAGCTACATTTTCCCTTCCGAGTTCATGACGATGCAGTCTGACATTTATTCAGGGTCCATGAGGGGATTGAGAGGACAATACACTACTTGGTCTTGAAAGCTAATATTAGATTACTGCCAAATGACCCCCCCCTCCCTCCCTCCCTCCCTCTCCCCCCCCTGTAAATTAATAATTTACTTGTCACACACTTCATTTTGTGTCTAAATGTGTAATTAATTCCACTTATTTTGTTACCATGTGTGATATCAAAGTCAGGGATCTATTTTTAAGATACCCGGGGTTTGGACTAAGGTAGGGTTGTTTATTATTAGGCCTCAGTATGTGGAGATATCGAAATAGTGGCTCACTTGTAAGGATTTCACAGAATTTCTAAATTAAAAAAATATGATGTCTTGCCGGCTGCAATAAGTTTTACAATCCAGCGTGGGCCGGTATCTTATGAACTATTTATTGAGTGAGGTCATGTTTACTTCATTATATATTTATTGGGATTCCCCCCTCCTCGTTTTGCTTGAGAAAATCAAATTCTGACAGCAAGTTAAGCGTGTTGTTCTGGTTTAAAGGGAAACGACTGTGAAATATACAGTCACAAAATTTTAATTTTACGATTTCTAACATTTGAGATGGTACAATCGAGATATATATGAGATAGTATTCTCTTTTTAAATTATTTTATGTATGTTTTCTGCTATTTATTTGTATAAATATACGCGCATCATTATGAAGTCGTTGCTTGTTAAAATTCACCTTGTTTACTAATGTTTTTTCTTGAAGAGAAAAGAAACAGCTTCATGGAAGTATACGTGTACAATGTAAATATTTCATTGGAACCAGTCGATGCACATAAATATATCCGTACAGGTTTTTGCTGTATTGCTGTTTTAGCTGAGGTAACTTATTTCTGTAATGTATGTTGCTTTTGGTTCCTGGTTAAATAATTCTATTAATTTATTACATCCATGTAATTTTAATTTATTTAATTATTGAACTGCAATGTGTTTCATTAAAGAAAAAACTTTAACATTTAATCGGACGTTTTCCATGACTACACTGTATAATATGGCTCATCCAGACATTAATATTCTTTTATTTATGCATCTATTTATTTATTGATGAGGAGGATGGAAACGGATAAGCTGTGGGCTGCACAGCTTTAAAAAAAAAAAAAAAAAAACATTCTGTGGATTCTTTAAGCTTATTGGACTGCTATATTGCCATTTTTTAAAGGTGACTTTGCCATCACCAAAAGGTGTGAGGTTTGATCTTATAAACAGCTCCATGCGCTCATGTGCCCATGAGCAAGACACCAACCCCCACCCCCACCCTTGAACCCAATCTGTTCTCCCACTGTATGGGTAATATAAGAGATGAATAACTAAAAAATGGATTTAGAAATGGCTTCTTTTTTTGCCTCAACACCGAGTCCTCCTCCAGGCCTCATCATAAAGCAGGCCTTGCAGGAACCCCATCTTCTATATTCCATCAATGTTAAAGACGCACGTGGCTCCTCCACTGACTTGCTGCCAGCTTATGCAGCTCACTGTTGCCTTACCTGAGAGCAAATGCTAATATTCTATTAGAGTCTAATCAGGGGGTCTATAGAGAGCTGGATGGGTCCCTGGAGCGCAGACTTGCCAGATGTCAGCCCGCCAGAAAAACAGCTCGCCTGCCAACGTGCCCGTCTCTATTTAAATACACACTCAAACATGCTTCGTTCCTGCATGCGGGCACACTGGCTTTGAAGCAAAACCCTTTGGTTCGAAGTTATGGTTAGATATGAGGAGGAGGTTAAAAAAAGAAGAAAACAGAAGGGAGGATTTTGAATGTCATGTCCACAGCAGAGTTGCTGTTTGTGGGCTTCAGGGCTGGCTTGGCTGGCTGGCTGGCTGGCTGGCTGGCTGGCTTGTTGAGCGCTGAGCAAGCGTTTCAGCACCATGGACAGATACCTGAGAGGCTGCACCAGCCAAACATTAGCATTTCTGAAACCTGTCCTCCACCTTTACATTGATTATCTACAGCACCTGGAATACATTTGCATTGGATTATTTTTGGGGATAATTTTTCAAATTGATTATAACAGTACATTTTAGTAGAAAGATAGACAGGTGATTTTGCAATACAAAAAATAAATAAATAAATACAAAAAAATCAATCAATAGTTAATTAGAAGTTATACCCTCAAAAAAAAAAGCTGTTTCGAGTGTTTTTATATTTTTATAACCATACAAATATTATCAGTACCTTCCAGCTTTTCCTAAAAGTGGAATCAATTTAGTTTCCACCAATTTGTTTTTAATGTTTTATATTAATTTATAAATACTTTAATTCATTAAAAGTTGCACATATATCCTCCCTCAACATTTATCCAACTAAGAACCTTAAATAAAATGTCTTTAAACTGAAAAACAGCGCCTTCATAACACTCATCCATAAGCCAAACATGTTCAACCGCCATCCTCGTGACAAATTAAGAGTATCAAAACGACCCTTATTAATGAGACAGCGGTGATGGTTCATCAATTAAAAGATGCTCCTGGTGAGTGCTTCTAATTTCCCCTAAATGAGCCATTCACTTAATACGTTAATAAGAGCGAATTATTAAATTACACATCGAATTATGAAAACCAGATAATTATGAAGAGCGAGTTAAGTAGTCATTAGCTATCCCTGTTAATTACCGCTGGTCAGGGAGGGCTGCCGAGTGAGTGTCTCATAGGGAATTGAAATTAACTTTATGCAGTGAGCCTCGCTGCTGCTTGACAAGCCGGAGCTCTGCACAGCAAGACAGACAGACAGGCAGACATACATACAGGCAAGGCAGCCTCTCAACCAGACTGCTGCTTCTCTTTCACATATTGGGAGAAAATCGATCTGGATTCTTTGATAGCGAATCAATGTGGCCCCAGCACTGAAAAAAAAAAATGCAACCACACACACACACACACACACACACACACACACACACACACAAAGCAGAAAAAAAGGCCTCAGCAGCACAATGAAGAAAGTCGAAGGTCTTTTTTATATAATAAATATGTGAAGCAAACAGTTTACCTTAAAGCCACAGACCAGGCACATGTGCCCACCTCATGCTGCATGCTTCCATACATTGAACCGTGCATGCAGGACGACACTGTGGGAGCTTTCTACAAAACGAAAAGGGCAGCGCTGTTTCCTTTTGTTATAATTACGCCCTCTGTTTTATTTTTCTCTTTCCCCTGAACATTTCCCCCCTTTCACAGGGATACTGATGAAAATTTAATGAGGCCAGGGACTGTCGGAGCTCCGCCTGGGGACCCGAGAGTAGAATATTTTAACTGTACATTTACGCCAAGTGTCTGCCTTCAAAGACGCGACTGCTCTCGAATTAGACGAACTGTGAGCCATAAATTGAACGCGCTGCACACCGTACAACCCTTTATTTATCATCTGTTGGCTCTTTTGCAACCGCCAAAACATTGTGCAACACCCGTCACTGTGGCTGCTCGGATGTTAAGCGGCAATCGCCATTTGATATTGTCGCCAATCAGTTGTTGTTGATGCAATATTAATCAGCCATCAATAGTCATTAGTTTGTTAAGTGTTTTCCAGAAACTAATCGATGGAGCAGCATTGGATGGCTAGGAGGATTTTTGGTGGGGTATTTTTGTGATCCAGGATGGCATGCAAAGGAGGGAAAGTCATACTGTTATCTGCCAATGAAATAGCTCCATCCCTCCATCTCTCTCTCTCTCTCTCTCTCTCTCTCTCTCTCTCTCTCTCTAATGTGCGCGCACACGTGGCAGCCACGCACACACGCTCATAAACAGACAAGTTGATCCCAGGGGTAGACATACTTTTGTTTCCAATACAGTATCTTCCATTTTACAAACGAAAAAACATTTTAAAATGCTCAGTTTTTTTTTTTTTTTTTTTTTTTTTTTTGCTGAGTTACTGACTGTGTAGTTCCTCACATGGTTTAACGCAGGGTAAATCCACACCACCAAAGTTTAAGCCTGAACTGGAAAAATAAAAGTTTGTTGATTCCGTGCTGATTTTAGATGTGACACATTTTACGATATATGAAGTATTAAAAAACAAAATTATGCTGGAATTTACCAGGCGATTTGAGAGTATATGTATAAAGTTTTACTTATTTTAAGCGTTTAAGCTTGAAAAAAAAACAATAGTTTTAGGGAAAAGGCCTGCGCGGTTTAACTCTGAAATATAGATGTAAACACTGGATACTGTCCAGACATGCGTAGACAAGAATTCGTCCCTTATTAAAAATGTATGAGATCGATGTACCCAAACGTTGCTTTCATTTTGAGTTGTGCAATTTAACATCGCATAGCCTATTATATATATTTTTTCAAGGTTTTCCAGCTGTTATTTTCATGTAGCTTGCGTCAAATCAGACATTCAGATACCGATTAATTATGATTTACAGAAATTTAGAAATTTTCATTAGCAAATCAGAAAAAATGGAATTGCTTAAAACAATAAATAAAACAAATCATTCATTTAATTCCATTGGAGACGTTCACAGCCTTCATGACTAAAATAGCTCAGGGGCGTGATTAGAGGGTGGGTGCTGAGAGGCCACAGTCACCCCTGACATGTGGCTGCCACCAAAATAATGATTTGGATGCATAACCAAGTTTCTACCTTTTTCCCCAGAGCTTTTCATTTTATACATTTGTTATTAATGGAACCATAAAGTTTTGTTTAATTTCTATAAGAGCCAGCATTATAATTCTTTAAAAAAAGATTGTTCCTGATTGTCCATTCGATGCCATTTTGTGCATTTGTGAATAGTATTTTTCCACATGAGTCTAGATGAATATTCAAATGCTTTTGCTTGGGGGGGAATATTGTCTACACTGCAGCTACACTGTTGCAATACAGCTATCTCCAGCATGGCCAGCGTGTTTTAGAATTTGTCAAGGACAGATTATGTGTGTTCAGTAAATTTAGCAATTTTGGACGCCAGTGGGGTTTATCAATAAAGATAAAAGTAAATAATTTAACATTAAGTCCAGTCCAGAGAAGTAATCCAGTTATGGACTGGGACTCATTCTGCTTTGAATTAAGGTTTATCTTAATGAAGATTATTTCTGTACATTGTGAAAAATAAAACTGACCTCTCTGTCCACAGCCAGTATTGTTAACCTTTTGCAATACTTGTTCTTACAGCTAGGGGAGTGTGAGGAACACCAGTTAAAATCATTGCACTATAGTGTTCATGTAGGCAAGAGGAAGAATCCCCTTCAAATATAAAATGACTGCCTGAGAAAATAAAGAATTAAGTCAGACGACATCTGCAAACTTCTCAGATGAAAGAACAAGAAGTTCGGCTTAGTTCATAAAAGCGACCAACATCTTTGCATAATTAGTTTTCCGTCTTTTCTTAAACTTTTTGCTCCTTCTGCGTTCATTGTAATGCTGAATGGGTAAAACCATTTTAAATCAGTACCTGCAGTTAATTATTCAGAAAGGGTAAGGCCATCAACTTTACAAGAATTGACACAGTGAGAACCAAATGCTCATCAAAATAAAATAAAATAATGTGACTTCCATGTCCTTTTACCATAAAACACTTATTCATTTACAACAGTAGATGCAATTGGGCTTTATTAATCTTGTATTGATAATAGATAATAATAAACAGTTTTCACTGGAATTTAAAGTCTAAAAAGGCTTTTAATCATCTTATAGATCATCAGAATAATATGTCATGTTAAATACAAAAAACTGTGCATATACTGTTCCACAACTTTACATCACAAAATCATCACCATGCTTTAAAGCCAAAACTCACAGCTCACAGAAACATGCTCAGTTGAAGCTTGGTTACCTTACTACTGATCAGCAAAAACAATATAAAGCAGGATAACCTCTTTATAACATAAATTTGGAGTCATATGTGTACATTAAGTGTGTTTTACAAATACAATTACACTATCTTATGAATTGCTTGATACTAAATTCACCAAACTCTCTATTTGTCTCCATTTATTATTATTTGGGTGCAGACTGTGTGTCAAAA